TTCCTACTCCTCGATGTTCCTGTGATGGCTGTTCGTGTGGGCTCGCAAAGAAACTGACCGAACTGAAAGAAAAGGAGAGGACTTACGAGTTCCTAATGGGGCTTGATGACCTATTCAGCGTTATTAAAACGCAGATATTGGCCATGAAGCCGACACCAAAACTGAGCACCGTCTATCACCTCGTGGCGGAGGATGAGCAGCAACGTATGATCACCGCTTCAAAGAAACCCGTCCGCGAAGTGGCTGCCTTTCAAGCCAGTTTTCAAGGAAGGCGAGATCAAACATGAAATCAACAAGAAAAGGGGTGGATAAAGACCGAGAAGGGCACCACTCGAACCGAACCTTGCAGTCATTGTGGGAAAGAAGGACACGATCGAGATGGATGCTTCAAAAGAATCGGTTACCCCGAATGGTGGCCGGGCAAAGGAAAAAGAGACAAACCAAAACCAAGGCAGCCATGGTGGAGACAAAACCGTGCCCGATACCGGGCATTACGGAAGAGCAATACGCTAGCTTCCTGAAGTTGTTTGGTGAAAACCGAGAACCTGTTGTGGCTAACATGGCAGGTAGAATAAGAGCTAATGACAACTGGGTTGTGGACTCGGGTGCCACCGAGCACATAACCCACCAAGGGCACCTTCTTGAAAGTTTATTGATGAACACCAATGAAAGGCCGGTCACCATCCCTAATGGGGATTCAATCCCTGTAAAAGGGAAAGGTGAAGTTATTTTCAAAGGAGGATTAAACATCAAAGGAGTTCTATTTGTACCAAATTTTACGTGCAACCTTTTATCGGTTCGGAGACTCACCAAAGATCTTCATTGTGCAGTAACATTTTTTCCCGATTTCTTTGTTTTACAGGATCTGAAAAACGGGGAGCTTGATTGGAGCGGGTAATTGCCATGGTGGTCTCTATTGGATGGGGGGAATAAAATAAGAAAGGAAGGCGATGGTGGTGACAATCGATGCATGGCATAAACGTCTTGGGCATGCATCCAACGTAAAGCTATCTCGTGTTAGTTTACTTAAAGATGTTTCTTCGAATTTTAAGACCAAAGTGTGTGATTCATGTAACAAGGCAAAACTCACTCGATTACCTTTTTCAATTAGTAGTATTAAAACTACCAATTGTTTTGATTTGATCCATTGTGATGTGTGGGGGAAATATAGGAGACCGTCACTAACAGGGGCGAATTATTTTCTTACGATAGTCGATGACTATAGTAGGGCGGTATGGGTATATTTACTTAAACACAAACACGAGGCGAGCACTTGCCTAATTGATTTTTACAACATGGTGAAAACACAATTTGAAAAGGGCATCAAAAGAATTAGATGCGACAATGGTGGAGAATTTGTGTCAAACAACATGAATGAATTCTATAGAGAACAAGGAATTGTCTTGGAAACTACTTGCCCCCATACCCCACAACAAAATGGGGTAGTTGAGCGAAAGCATAGGCATCTCTTAGAGATCGCACGAGCCTTACGGTTTGAAGCAAACCTTCCCACGATCTTTTGGGGGGAGTGTGTTCTTACGGCTACGTACATCGTTAACCGGTTGCCCTCCAAAGTCATAAATGACAAAACTCTGTATGAAGTTCTATTCGGACGACATCCCGAATACGACCATATGTGGGTTTTCGGATGCCTAGCCTACTACAAGAACATCGAAACGAATGGAGATAAGTTTGAACCAAGAGGAAAACCCGGGGTATTTTTAGGCTACCCTCCGGGCAAAAGGGGGTACAAAATTTACGATCTAAAACAAAGAAAAATGGTGATGACGAGAGACGTAAAATTCATCGAAGACATGTTTCCTTTTTCGAAAACGGAATCAAAAGATTTTGAGCAAGAAATCTTTGAGTACTTGAGTCCTATCTCACAATGTGATAAATCACATGAAAAACCTGTCAAGAATGTGGAGACAGGGGGAGCTTCAGTGCAAAATAGTGAGGAGGAGCAAACATATAGCATGAAAGACGTATTGGAAGAACAACTAGAAGACTTTGAAGAAGAGCAAAACATGCAAAGAGGTGACGAAGAGAGTAATACCCATGCTGAAGACGTGCACATGGAAAATCATGTGGAACCACCTGTCGTCCAACAAGAAACCGAAGAAGGAAGACAAAAGAGACAAAGGACACAACCAAGACACTTAAGCGATTATCAAGTAAAGCTTCCCCCATCCATCGACCACACGCAACCCGCTTCCAGTCAAGAGTCCTCGACGGTACATCCATTATCCCATTACGTTTCTTATGAGCATTTTTCTAATACTCACAAAGCGTTTTTATCCGCCATCAATAATCATGATGAGCCGAAATTTTTTCATGAAGCAGCCCAAAACGAAAATTGGAAGGAAGCCATGCGGAAGGAAATACACGCCCTTGAGCAAAATGGGACGTGGACCCTCGAACAATTACAGAAAGGAAAGAAAGCCATCGACTCAAAATGGGTGTACAAGGTCAAGTTCAAACCGAATGGTGAGGTAGAAAGATATAAAGCAAGACTCGTGGCAAAAGGCTTTACGCAAATGGAGGGAGTGGACTATCACGATACGTTTGCACCTGTTGCTAAATTGGTGACCTTAAGAACACTCCTAGCCATTGCCGTGAAACGAGGATGGGAGATTCAACATCTCGACGTTAACAATGCTTTCTTACATGGAGACCTAGAGGAGGAGGTTTATATGAAGATTCCTCAAGGGTTCTCAAACAAAGACGACACAAGGGTATGCAAACTCAAAAAGTCGATCTACGGCCTGAAGCAAGCATCTCGGAATTGGTACCACAAGTTCACTAAATCCCTTGTTAGCGTTGGTTACAAACAATCTAAGGCCGATCATTCATTGTTTATTTACAAAAATGGTGATGCATATGTAGCGGCTCTTATATATGTGGATGATGTGATACTTGTCGGGAATGATATGAAATGGATTGAAAGAACGAAGTCCTATCTTGACAATGAGTTTAGCATAAAATATCTCGACCCCTTGAAATATTTCTTGGGCATCGAAGTGGCAAGAACGTCCGAAGGACTGGTCCTTAGCCAACGTAAGTACACGTTGGACATTCTTGAAGATAGTGGGTTGAAGGGATGCCGGCCTAGTTCGTTCCCCATGGAACCAAATCTCAAGCTTGACAAAGGAGAAGAAGAAGAAGAAAAGATTGATGCAAGCCAATACCGAAGACTTGTAGGTCGCTTGCTTTACCTACAAGTCACTAGCCCAGATATAGCCTATTCCGTAAGCATTTTAAGCCAATTCGTTGCAGACCCACGACGCGTTCACATGGAGGCTGCAAACAGAGTTTTACAATACCTTAAGACCACCATCGGTCAAGGCATTCTCTTACCAAACACAAACGACACCGACCTTGTGGCTTATTGTGATGCCGATTGGCTCGGATGTCCACTTAGTAGACGATCGAGGTCGGGTTACACGCTCCTATTAGGGGGAGCCCCAATTTCCTGGAAGTCAAAGAAACAGTCTGTAGTATCACGCTCTTCGGCCGAGGCGAAATATCGGGCAATGGCCACTGCAGTTAGTGAGATTATATGGGTTCGTTGGCTGTTGGAGGAACTTGATGTCGCGGTGGTTGGTCCTACACCGTTGTTCTGCGACAACCAAGCAGCAAACCATATAGCTAACAACCCCGTCTTTCATGAAAGAACGAAGCACGTTGAAATGGATTGCTTCTTTGTTCGTGAACGAGTTGAACGAAAAGAGATTGTTCCCATTAACATCAATTCAAAGCAGCAAATTGCTGACTTGCTTACCAAACCACTTGGTTCTCACCTATTACAAACGTTACTTGTCAAGTTGGGCATTCGGAACTTACATGCGCCAATTTGAGGGGGAGTATTGGAAACCATCATTACCTCCTTGATCTCCTCTCCATTATATATAACCGTAATTACTTCCTTGATCTCCTCTCCATTATATATAGCCTTTCCATGTGTAACCCTCAATTGTAGTCTCCTTCCTTTTCTTTTGTCCTACTCTTGTTGTATAAGTAAACCTCCTTTGACATAATAAAATTCACCTTTTGGTATCAATTTGTATAACATAAGATATATATATATATATATATATATATAGAGAGAGAGAGAGAGAGAGAGAGAGAGAGGCAAATCCTAGATACTGAAATTGATTAATACGATTGTGGGAGCATGAGAGAATGATCGAAATGACTTTCTTTTACTATTTTATTACTTTGAATTTCAAATTTAAAGGGTTTTATATAGGTCATGCAAGCAAACATGTGTGTCTGCCAAATCATCTTACATAAACAAAAAATCCAAATCAATTAAGTAATTAACTGATGTAGTAAGTTATCCATATTATAATTGATAAAATTTTTAAAGTATAATATTTTAATGAAAATTAATTTGAAAGTAAAGTATTATAATGAAGAAAAATAAAAGTATAACATTATAATAAGAAAAATTATGAAAAGATTGTTACTTAATGTATTTAATCTTTTATAGAGTATATTTACAAGCATGATATAATAGAAAAAAAAAACAATATAATAATTTTATTATAAACAAGTAAGGGGCTGTTCGGTTTGTTGCTTAATGGGTTAGATAAGACATATGGCTTATTCGCACAACCATATCTAAATGTTTGGTATGGGATTATTTGGTCAGTCGATGGTTGAATCGCTCAACTACTAAAGTAGAGTCATGTACACTAAGTTGGTCATTTTCCCTCGATACCCTTAGAAAAAACACGTCTCGTCCTCCCTAAATTCATTTTATCCTTCTCTAACAGACCCTCTACCTTACCTGAAATGGAAACGATTCTCATTATCTGGAATGAAGCTTGATTCACTGGGAGAACTCACTAGAATGAAGCTCGATCTGCTCCTTACTCTCCCCATCTTTAGCTTATGTGGCGGATTCAACGTTTCCCTTTCAGCGCCTCCTGTACTATCGTCGGTCTTCCAGTGACTACTATCGCCGGTGTCATATTTTGATTTTCATCAAGTCATCCTTATTGCCATCATCGATCTTCTTTTGATTTTCAAGCTTTCCAGTGCCTCCTCAGCGATTTTGAATGAGTTTGGTGAAGGTTTGCTTTTGGATGTTCAAAGATTTGGGTATTTCTCCCTACTCATTCAAAATCCATGTCGTCTCTTTCATTTGGATGTTCTTTTTATTTACAGTTCATAGATTTGACTCGTCTCCTTCATTTGGGTGTTCTTTTATTTAGGGTTCATGTATTTGATGCTTTTGATTTTTGGCATTAGGTCTACATAAAGGTAAAAAAAACCCAGATTGTCTCCTTCATTGGGTCTGTGACATTAGCTCTGTGGGAAAAACCCAAACCAGTTAGATTGGATGGACATTAAGGGGTAAAATAGTTATTTATGTCATTCAGACTGATTATTCAAGACAACAACCGAACGACAACTTATATGTTATCATTCAGACAACTTTATCAATACATACAGCTTTATTCATTCAGGTCTTAAGAAAAAGGAACCGAACAACCCCTAAGACTTATATGATTATGATTTATGGACACTTTAACTTGTTAACCAATCTAACAAATAAAAATAGGATTTTAACCGCTCGCTTTTAAGCATGGTCCAAGCTAAGGGACAGATTTGGTAACTAAGAAGTAGTTGGGGGACCATTTTTGTGATAATCTTTAAGTTTGAAATTAAATCCCTCATTTGAGTAATTTGAGGCGTTTAAAATTCACAATTAGATTAAGAGGCGCCAAACAATAAACTTCGTCTTTGCGCATTCCTCATGGAAACGATCGGTAGAGGTTCGCCGGAAAATTATGTTTGGCCGGAGACGCTTACCACCGCTTTGGAAACCGAGAACAAAGAAAGAGCCCTAACATTCATGCGGCAAATGAATACAGCAGACGTGAAAGCGAATTCAACTTCCGGTCGTTCATCGTCAAATTCATCTGCTGCTGATTTGATAGATTCTAGCCAAGATCTTTTAACCGAAATTTTTCTAAGGTTACCGGTGATTACACTCATTCGACTCACGTCCGTATCAAAACAGTGGAACTTCTTTATCAAAAGTCATAGTTTCGGTCTCCTCCGAAACCCTCACCCCGATCCCCCTTCCGGTCTCTTTTTTGAAGGTTGGGATGCTCGGTCTAAATATCATTACGTGCCACTGGATTTCGGGAATACGGTGAATAGACCTCCATTTACGACTCTCCGTTTTGACTCAGGTGCTATAAAGATTTTACAATCTTGCAATGGTTTACTCCTCTGCGTTAATGATTTTCAAAAGTATTACATATACAATCCAACCACCAATCGATTTACCACACTTCCGCCACTAAACAATTTCAATCCGGATGGTTTTTGTTGTATGACATTAGCGTTTGATCCTTCAAAATCATCTCATTACAAGGTGGTATGCAATTACATGTACAGAGTTATGATGATTGAGATTTACTCTTCCAAATCAGGGAAGTGGAAGATCTCAAATGAACGTATGGATGATTTAGTAGATGTTGATCGAGGTGTCTACGGACACAATGCCATTCATTGGATGAGTTTCCCAAATCGGCTTGTCTATTTGAAGTTAGACGAGGAGCTACTTCATTATATCGATATAGATACACCTGATACCACCATTTATGGCACAATTCTTGATGAATTCTTAACCGAATCTCGTGATGGCATGCTTCTTGTTGTGCGTTGCTGTAGGTTTCGGAGATTGAATGTGTATGAAATTAACAAAGACTATTCTGAATGGTCCATCAAGTATCATGTCGATCTTGAAGAGGTTATTAGGGTTTGTCCCAACATGCTCACCCGTTTAGGGCTTCATTTTGTGGTGCAATCTCTTGTGTTAGGAGGAAGAGAAGAGGATTCATTCATAGTACTGGAACTTCCTGGGAAGCTTATACAATACAAGTTTGTGTTAAACACCATCTCTCAGCTCCGTGATTTCACCACGGAGAGCCGCCGTTGTACTCATGGTGGTTTCTTTCCAAAGACCATCTTCCAGCTTTCGGATTTTACGCCTGAGAATCGACGTTTCATCAATGGCAGCTGTTTCCATTTCATTCCATCTCTGGCTGCTGTCTAAGGTACCAACTCTACATTTGCCACATCATATGTCTACATATATAGAATGCACATTTTCAGGAACTTGACTCTACTGGTTTTTTGGGTCATTAATTCTACTGTATAGTCCTCATCTTTTGTGCCCCCGCCATGTCTGCTTGAATTCAATCAAGAATTCTATATCATAATAGAGTTAGACTGATCATGATCTTGGAAACGATTTGATGTGAATCTTCTCTTATTGTCAACTTTTATAGCGACATCGATTATACATAGTAAGAAAAGACTAAAATCTAAACTTCATAGCGGTAAATGAGTTGGTATTTAAGGATATCTCCAACCGGATTGCAAAAAATGGCAAAATGCAGCAGATGGGAGATAAATGCACGTATATCATGTTTCTGTTCAAATGACATATATGTTCTGTGGTTGGAGTTGAAGCAATTTTTGGTATTAATGACCCCACCAATTTGGTATTGTTTTGGTGTAGGCATTGGAGATGGTCTTATCATTTAGAAGAAAACATTATATTTATGATATAATTATTACAGATCAGAAACGGATCCGTACGCTAATCTAATCATCTACAATCTAATTAACAAAACAGAAACTAGGATCAAATTTTAGTTAGGACCCCAGCAACTCAAGTACATGACTTTTCTCAAAGACTCTTGAGGCTGTTTTGGTTTCTCTTGTATGGATTGGTTTTTAGCCATGGCAGATAGCTTCTTGGCCTGCGAGAAAGATGGGAGGTTGGAGTTAGTATGGCGGTTGATGAGGCTAATGGTGTAATTCCATCGTGCAAAGCCTTTATCTTTAAGTGCCTCCACTGATCCAACTGTTCCGGCCACCACCCATGCTTTGGTCGTTGAACTCATGATTCAGAATGAATTGTGACTCTACTAGTTAAATAAGATTGATTTAAAATATGTTTGGATGATAAGGTTGAAAATGGCAGTATAAATAGATGTATGAGATAAGAGGAAGAGCACCACGTTTTTTGGCAAAACAGTGTGAGGCCTGGAAAAGCTCATTTCTTCTATGGGTATGGTATACAATGTATTTGGCCATAAAACCATGCATCCTTAATATGCAAGTTTTATATTTTTCCGAATTAGTTGTTTAAACTTTTTATTATTTTATAATCAAGTTAAAAGTAAAATATAACAAACATACAATTATGTTGTTAGATACTTTTCAGTTTGTAACAACTATACTATTTAATTTTATTTGAAGATTTGAGAAAAATTTGGTTCAATTGTGCTTTCCTCTAAAATAGAAGAAAAAGAGACATATATGCTATATTTTCTTTCTTTTCTAGTCAATTTTTTTTTCCTTATTTTAGAGGAACATTTAACATAGTTGTTAGAACAAAATTATCCTTGCTATAAATTTATTGCAGAAAACTATAGACAAACAAGATTAGGATGTGATTTGGAATCACCATCCTCATAATAACTATTAGTTGTTGGGTTAAAAGTAATTTACCCCATGATTTACCTAATCTTTTGGATAAGGGACACAATAAATCTTTCAATCTCTATGAGTGTCATTTCTGTAGAAAATAAGAGAGAAGGAATAAAAAAGTTAGGAGAAATTTGATATGATTGATTCATATTTATAGGCTTGTTGACGGTTTTAAATTATAAAAATTGTCCTATGATTTTAATTAAGTTTGATTAAATTTTAAGTAACAGAAAAAACTGTAAAAAAATTGTCACTGCTATCTTTTAACCTATTGAATATATAACATGCAAGTTCAAACCAAGCCTAAACTCTATAATCTATTATATTCCGTTTTTTTGATAAAACCCAATAAGCGGTAGAGTCACCATGTAGTGATGGCCATACCGTCCAGGTCTGGTCCAGGAGCGTCGGAGGACCGGGATCGGTAAGGATCGGTTATAGGACCCAAATCTGGCACCGGTTATGGATTTGTGGTGTTTCGAGGGACCGGGACCTACCGGAATCGGTTATGGTCAGGCCCGGCCCGATTTTTAATAAATGTAGCTATTTTTTTAAAATGTATCTGTTTTTTGTATTATTTGTTTTCTAAACACTATATATAACTATATAAGTGTTTTAGTTGAGGGATTTACATACCAAGTTCTTGATTCGCAAAAAATACAAAAAAACGTTCACAATTATCGGTTTCTCCCTATATTTTGTAAGACAATATAATTTTAATTATAATAAAATGCATTTTTAAAGTGTATTTGAGTGACCAAATTACAAATTTTATAATGTATTAAAAATATATATTATTAAAAAAGTAAAAATAAAATATTATTTTGTATTGACCGGGACTGGTTGGGACCGGAACCAGGATCGGTGGCCCGTAACCGGTTACAATAAAGCTTGATCAGGCTTAATTTTTCGACCGGAACCGATTATGACCGATTATGAAAAATCTTGGGCCCCGCCCGAGATCGATTTTTGGCCATCACTATCAGTCACGTTAGCACCATAAGGTGCACGTGCTCCCCCTAAAATTAACCTTCTTTAATAAAAAAATTTTTTGCTTCATATCTCCGTTATCCATTTGCATTCCATCAGCCGCCTCTAACAGAGAATTCCTTGGGGCTGCTTTTGTATATTACCCATTTCCATTTCAAATACACATTATACATAGGATTAGAGAAGATGATGTCAACTTCTTACTATTCTTAACCTTCTAAGTAGTAACTCTAAATTGAAATTGTTTAATGCTCATCCGGAAACGTTTGGTGGTGTTGCTTTACCATCTTTAGGGATTATTTACCATCAAAATAGCATATAAGATTATGGGTATCAAGTAGGTGTTAACTTGAGTAAAACTCACCACCGTTATTTATTGGATAAGATTACAATCATTGTCATACCTCTTACCACGTAAGATTCTTATTACTTGTCATGCCGTCCTTTAAGGTAAGTGACGTAAAAATCATCTATTGTGAAAAAAATATTAGAAGCTCTCTTAAAGTAAGGTTAAAACCGTTAGCAAGCTGTGTAGGAAATATGGATGGACATCCCTTGTTTTTGTTGTTTTTTTAAAAATATTTGATTGTATGAGTCACCGATATACTTGTGATTGTTTAATCTTAATAAATTGAATAAAATTTATAACTTTGATCATAAACTTATGTCATTGTTGTTGATGGATTGTATGCCACTATGCTCTCAGTCATGAGTTCACCATGAACCAATAGGATAGGATTTATAAAGCAATAAATATTTTTCTTCATTTCTTAGGTAGGACAAAACTTCCAAATGGAAGACTATATTCAACATTTAATAATTGTTATGGATGATAATAGGTGGCAGATGGCGTAGCGTAGGACAAAAGTAAAACAAGTGATCCAAGGTTTTGGACACACTTGTTTATAACATTTTATAGGTCCTGGACAAACATAAAAACAGAGCCCACTGCAAAAAATAAGACAACAACTTTTGTCGTCGCTAAAAGTCCATTTATCATCAAGAATAGTATATAACAACATGTCGTCATTATAACTTGTGGCGGAAACATGTTATGCCTAAAGGCGTCAAAGATCACTTTTTTTATACTGACCCTCAGTAAGTACGGAAAAAAAATTCAATAAATGTTTTTCATTAGTATAAAATTGAGTATAAGAAATGCTAATAATTTACTGAAGAAGGAAATCTTAATAACAAGAAATATGTGTTATTTTGATACAAAAAAAGAATTCGTGTGAATGAAGTAGTCATGAGGGGTCAATGAGAGATTAATAATAAAGAAGATTATCAAGGTTTTCTATATAAATAGACAAATGAGAATCAATAAAAATATGAAAGAAAAGATGATCCATTGAGATCCAGTAAGAATAAATAATGAATTAAACATATAATACGCATGCTCAACAAATGATTGTTTAAGCACTTAAATAGAATCTTGTGGTATGGTGAAATCCCAATGAAAGATGCATAAGTCAAACAATTGATGAAAATATTTAAATTTTATTTTCCTTTTTTTTGTTCAACTAAAATAAGATGTTGAGATTAAAAGTTTATGGAACATGACATATATAAGAGACATTACTAAATACATCTAGTAGAAATTTTTTATTAATTAATCACAAAACCATGAAACACATTATAAATTATAAGAACAATAGATTGATTGTCAAACAATAGTAAAATATTTTATGTGGAACCAAAAATAGATAAATTATAACAAGATAACCAAATAACAATAATCAATAGATGTAGAAATTGATAAAAATATTCAACAAAAATACATAACAATAGCAAACATATAATCTTAATATTGAATTGTTGAAGCACGAAAACTGTCAATCATATAAAGATAACAATAACAAATATCATTGGTCCTTGTTAGAGATAAAAAAAATTTAGAGATGCAATAAACAATAGCATATAATGAATGACCAATTAATTTTTTATTTATTTTCTTTTCTAAAATAATTAATTGATATATTTTTGGGCCCTTATTATCTACTAAATTCTTTTTGTCTTTTATTACATTCTACAATTTTTATGTTTCTTTAATTTATTAAATTCTTTTAAATTGTTATTGTATTTAAGGAAAAAAAATTAGACCCTTGACATTTCTGGGCCCTGGATTTGCGTTCGTGCAAAGCTCCCCAGAGACGGCCCTGGTTTTGGAACACAAGTTTCTCCATGTTAAGTTAAAAATGATTTTCATGATATGCAATTACCAAATTAACGATACATAACTTTGAAGAGTGAAGTTCAAGTTTGGTAATCTTTTTGAAAGTGGAACCTAATCTTTAATTAGTCAAAAAAATCTTTTTTTATGGTTTACATTTTGTTTTAAAATTAGTCCCTTAAATTAACTTTGCTAAAAATTGTCTAATAAGTGAGAGACATCTTCATTTTTGCCTTACTTTTACCAAATTTTTTATTCAACAAATTGAAAAATATTATAGTATATTATTGATATTATATATATACAAACACATACACATTGTTGTTGTATGAGTGGAGGAAGACGATGTAAACAGGAATGATCTTCGCCACTCCTACCGCTGGAGAAACCAAGTCACCATCTCCGGCCACCCCTTATTCCTCCTACACGGATCAACCACCACCTTTCCCTTTTACTTGACCTCAACACCGTCAATCTAAATTTAAATGTAAAAACAACACAAAATGACAAACTCACAGCTTCTTCCCCCCATATACATGTATATATATATATATATATATATATATTCTTTAAAAGAAAAATTAGGAGAAGAGGCAAAAAGACAATGGTCGTCACTTAAGTTAGTATTACTATTATGGACCATTTTTAGAACATAGTACAAAACCACAAGAATGGTTTTTGTACTAATCAAAAATTAAGTTCCACTTCAAAGTTTTCAACTAAACCTTAAGGACCAAAATAGAAATATAGTCTAATCTAAACTAGAAGTTCGGTAGCAACACGTGGCTGCCTCATGTGGTAGTTGTCACTCAATTCCCTAAAACCGTTGGCTGCCCCCTGTTTATAACCTAAAACTTGGGGCTATTTTACTCTCCACCCAAACATCTATTTAAACCCATCTTCATCAAACGCTTGCAACATTTCAAGGAAAACCCATTTGATTAAAGCATTTCAAAAAGATGAGTTCAACAAGCAGAGCATGGATGGTGGCCGGAACCGTTGGATTGGTGGAGGCACTCAAAGATCAAGGGTTTGCACGGTGGAACTATACCGTTAGGGCCATCCACCACCACACCAAGTCCAATCTCCGGTCAATCTCTGGTACCAAGAACCTGTCATCACCAGTGGCCATGGCTTCTAGCAGGGGAATGGAAGAGAAAATAAGGCAATCGGATGAGTCATTGAGAAAAGTCATGTATTTAAGCTGTTGGGGTCCCAATTAAATCATCTGTTTCAGCTTTTGGTGTCTAGATGCATAGATAGATTTTACTTGTAATTATGTACGATATTTGGTATTAATGATGAAATCTATTAATTATATATAGACGGGTGTATATGTGATGTGAAATTGATTCTAAAGCATACAAAACCATGGCTCACATCCAATTAATACTGGCCACTATTGAGTAACACCATAGAGCTCATCTTATTAAGATTTTTTAGTAGAAAAAAAAGGGATTGAACTTGGAACATACAGCCAAGCCATTTTTTGTTGTTTATTGGTGTTGAATAACACAACAAAAATGAAATTTTATTTTTGTTTTTAAATCATTAATTACTGTTCCATCTTTAATTATCCTGTTGAGCATTTAATTTTATGTCAGATTTGATCACTGTTTGTTTGTTACAAAAATTGTTAGAATGTTTCATTTAACAACAATTCTGACTTTTGTTTATTTCACTATTGAACTTTGAATGTTAAACATTTACATTATAATATGAAATTAGTATAAAACCAATATCAACATGAAACAACTAAAAAATGTTAGGTACCATGCAAAGTCAATTGGTACATCATAAAAGAATTTGCATATGGCATGGGAGAAAAACTTGGTAAAGTACCATGTTGGTCAATATATAGGAGAAAGAGAATCGTGTGAGAATAAAAGTTATAGTGTGAAGTGTAAGAAATAATCCAGACTCTTCATCATTTTTAATCTCACATCTCATGAATTGTGCTCATCACGGGGACTAATTCGATGATCTCGATGCATCGCATTAGCATTTATCTTCAATTAGGATTGATCCAAAGATGAAAATTATTTCTTACCTTTCTTACACGTAACTCTTATTTTTATCCGAATCTAACTGATAAATAAGAATGTTATATTTCTTTTATTTTAAAATCAATAAATAATATATAAGTGTACGTGCCAGCTGCCAAGTGAAATGGAAGGGTATTATTGGGAATTGGATGCTCTAAAACCATTGGCTCTTACTTCCAGTTTTGATCTCATAAAAACTAGACATCTATTTATACCCCCATTCCATCCTTCTTCTTCTTCGTCATCACCTACAACTTACTTTCAAATTAAGAAAAAAGAAACACCAATCTTGAGATAGCATGAGTTCAACAAGCAGAGCATGGCTGGTGGCTGGAACCGTTGGATTGGTAGAGGCACTCAAAGATCAAGGGTTTGCACGATGGAACCACACCATCAGAACCATCCACCACCACGCCAAATCCAATATATATATCCGGTCAATCTCCCACACAAAGAACCTGTCATCACCGGTGGCCATGGCTTCAAGCAAAGGCCTACAACTAGAGAAAACAAGTCAATCGGAGGAGTCTTTGAGAAAAGTCATGTACTTGAGCTGCTGGGGTCCTAATTAAACATCCATACATATATATATATATATATATATATATATATATATTTGAAGATAGGTTGATTAGTTCCAGTATACAAATGGTATACTCCATGCCATGATCCCAGGCTTGAACCAATTCATCAAGTTGTAACATTTTGTTCTCATTTAGATTTTGTTGTAAATGAATGAGATATATTTAAATGCAAGCAAGTGGCCTGTTTTCTATACCAACCAACATCTATGGATGCGAATATTTACATATCCCTCAATTTATACTTATATCGCTATTTGTAACTTAAAAAAACAATATCATTCGTGTTTATAAAAGCATATGTATTAATTGTACCTCCTACAAATGGTCATTTACGCTTATCATGATGCCAACAATCAATCACCAAGTAGTATCGATGTTTGGATTTTTTAATTTATTGAAATGTCTGCTTTAAAATATAGTTGGTTAGAGACAGAGGCAGCATCTAATTCAATGTCCATCTGCATGTCTTGATGTTTAAAAGGGCATCTCCAGTGCATGATACTTTACGAGAGTGTCATGGACTGCCACATCAGCATTTCACTCACCATACAACTTTATCATTTTATACCCACACTCCATAACACTCCAATGAGTTTAATGGATTTCCACATCATATATATATATATTATCTATAAATATAATTTTACCAA